TTTTGCGGTGACTGGGATATGAAAATTCCTGTTTTCATTCGGTGTAGGAAGGTGGAATTGTTGGGTGATTTTTAGGGTGGACTGAAATGATTTTTATATGAGTGAAATTATTAATGAGTATATTGCTGACTCTCTATCGAAACAAGCGAAAGAGGCCGGCGTTTGGGCTTTCAGTGGCCGATACGTTGCCGGCGCTCAGGCTTTAACCCTTTCGCTCCGAAGGGCGTATATATACGCCCTCGAAGAATGAACATTCATATACGAAGAGCGTATATATACGCTCTCGAAAAGTGGGCGCTCGGGTACAAAGAGCGTACATGTACGTTCATACCATATATATACTTTTCTTTCTTTTTTGTTTTTGCGACAAAATTATCGTTTGCCAAATTTCATTTAAATCTTATAAGACAGATATTGGAAACATATGGGAAACAAAAATCAGATATGAAATGTACCTCAGTGTCGACTAGTCAGTAATGCGCTCCGTTCATAGCGATCATATTTTGTCACAAGCGCGCCGTAGCGAAAAGATTAATATTGTGCTAGAAGGGCAAGTAGCTGACGCTTAGAGGCACTGACAGGAAAAGAAATAATACGTTAAGGGGTTAATTGATGATTTTACTATGAAACTTTGACTAAGAATATTTCTACAAATTTTAGGAATTTTTGGAATTCTTTTTTGTGGTTCTTTAACTATTCTACGTGAACAGTATGCTGTTCCTGAAGGAATTTAGGACACTTTTCCTATGTAAATTTAAAGTAGACCACAATTCAGCTGAATCATTTCGAAATTTATCGACACTAATTATTATGAAAATATAGTAGTTAACAAAAAAAGTCCATTAATACCAATAACGCAAATTTTGACCAAATAGAAACCATCACAGAAATAATCAAAGTGCGATCTAATATTACACTCTTCAAAATTAGCTAAAAATTGACACCAACAATTTCTAAAAAAAAGTCAAGATTTTCTTAACCCTTTAATACCGACAGAGATGCCTTCACAAAACCGACAAGCTCACACTTTTCTAAGTAACAAAATCACGAACTCGTGTACGTATATTTTCCTCGAATATAACTTTCAAATGATTGTTTTATAAAAGAACTTGAAGTAGTCTCCTAATTATGCGTTGTACAACTAATCAGTATTTCGATACGACATGCAGTCCTCCGTTCTTAATCCTGTAATGCTAAGACGGTAAAAAAATGTTCACACGGTAGAAAATAATTTAGACGACATCATACCTGTACGATACATCCTTCGAATCTCGGAGCGAGGATCTAAAGAAGAAATCTGACGGCAGTGAAACAGCCTCTAAAGGGACAATCTCCGAGATCGTGAAACGGACTCGTCAAACGTCTCCTTCGAATCTCAGCCACGTTCGCCTGAAATTTCTTTCCGGAGAAGGATCGTTCAGGACTTCCTCTCTCGTAGGCCAGCGACGACGTTGCGAAAGAGGCTGGGCCGGTGTTACGCGCAGATTGCTGCTCTCTCGCTGGTTACGTTCCAGCACCGTTTGTTCTCAACTGTGCGCGTCACTTTTCGTTACGCGATCGTTACGAAACCGCGGAGGTCACGAACGTGTGTCGACGCTTTGTTCTCTTATTCGTCACTGATCATGATTTTCACGGTGTGGAAAGAAACACGGAATTCTACTTGGGACCACTGTGTGCGAGAGAAGCGTAACCTTCTCGTTACAATTTCGTCCGTTTGCTTTGGAAAAATTTACAGGAGGACTCGGGTTGGTAATGAAATTTCCGGTTTTCCTGCTTTACGATTCCTTTCCTCGTACAACCAATTAATGCTAAAATATTGCGAATTCTTAAGATTTGACAATCCTCAGATTTTTAATTTTTCTGCTTCGAGATTTCTTTTTAGCGATTATGCATCCAAGAGTAGTTATTTAATTAAAGCTAAAATATTGTAAATTCTTGAGATTTGACAATCCTCGGACTTTTTAATTTTTCAAAATTTCCAATTTTCCTGCGTTACGATTTCTTTTTCTCATTATACAGCCAATGGTAGATATTTAATTAAAGCTAAAATATTGTAAACTCTTGAGATTTGACAATTCCCAGATTTGTAATTTTTCCAAATTTCCAAATTCAAAACTTCTTTTTGGCGATTATGCATCCAAGAGTTATTTGATTAAAGTTAGAATACTGTAAATTTTTAAGATTTGACAATCCCCAGATTTTCTAAATTAAAATCACAGCTAGAATAAAATTAACTTTTATTGCTGATTTATCTATTTTCGTCGCACCTTGGCCATGATCTATGACTCCAGCCTGATTTCTATTTACAAAGCAAAGATTAAAACTATCGACACTTTTCTGCAATTTTAAATAGATGTAGCGTGACTTTAGTGTTACTGCTAAACCTTCTTTCCTTTTCCCTTCAAATTTAACGTAAGTTCTAGTGATTCCAATGGACTACAATTTGTGTTCGGAAAAATGGGTGGAGCCAGAAAGAGAGAGAGAGGGGGGTTTCACCGTGAAATTAAGCTTTTCCCTTCACATGGAACGTGACGAGGCACGGCAACCGTTATTGATCTTCCGGTGTTCGTAACGCGAGAACGGAGCCTCGAGATTTATTGGGTTACCTCCTCTCTCCTACACGTGTCCGTTCCTCCGTAGGGCAAGTTCGTCGCTTAATTTCGTTTCGACGGGAGAACGCGACCTTTCCAGAGACGGTCACCGTCGACTGCTGTCAGAAAATCACGAGGTTTTCTACGCCGATTCGTCGTTATTCCCTTCGGTCGATTCTTAACAGCAGGGAGATCTACTAAAGCTAGCCTTTTGCTCGTCTTCGAACTTTCGATTTTACTCGGGATTCAGACTCGAAGACTGGTTATCTGTGTGGAATTTTAATTGGTCCGAGTGAAAAGTTAGTGTTCGAATTGGGAACGTATTTTTTAAATTAACGATTAGTAATTTGTATCGGTCGAAGAGGAAGGAAATTTAGTTGTTTAATATTTATTCATTGTATAAAATTAGCTGGTATCGAGTATCAAAGAGGATTAACTCTTATATCGCTTGATAACAGGTTAGAGTAGTTGGTCATGTTGGGCACGGTGGCTACTCGTCGATCATTAAAGTGCAGCTTCACTTGTCGCGGCACCGACAAGGATGGGTGACCGCCCTCTTCTCTTTCGGAATTATTATATCATTATAAATAATTTACACGCTGATTGGGGCTCGGAGATTGCGTCTCATCAATCGCTACAATATTATACGACACATAAACGAAAAAAAAACAAAAAAAAAAATGAAACATTAATACTCTTCATACATTTACAAGGATACGACGAACAACCTATCGCACCTATATTACAAATTCAAGAGAGAGAAAGTAAAAGGTAAAAGAAGTAGTATTACAAGAGCAAAAGGACAAAAGCTGACTTGGAGAAGAAAAAAACTAAATTAAAAAGACACTAAGCAAGGAACTTAGGTTAATACCAAAGGTAAAACCACACGGATACACCTGGAAATCCTGAAGGGATGAAACTTCCATCAGCAAGTATTAAACGAAAAAAAAAAAAAAGGGGAAAACCACGAGGAAAAAGCCCAACGCAGGCAAACAAAACCGTCGATCAAATCTCCAGCTAGAATATCGCGTCGAAAGAGACCGTCCATCTCTGGCAGCATCGTTACCAGACACCCCATATAATATTCCCTCTAGCCACCCCAAGTCTCTTCCCGCCATTTCTTTCCCTTTGTACTCGCCCGTTATTATCGTTCCCGTTGTGTCCGACTGTAGGAAAAAACGGAAGGAACAACAAAGACAAATTCTCTCGCTCTCTCTTTGAAATAAAACAAGACAAAACGAAGGAGGTAGAAAACGGAAAACGTCGGTTTACCGAGCGGCGATCGTTCACAGGGAAGATTTCTCTAAGCGATCGAACGACCCAAGTCGATCTCTGCCAATTGCTTCTCGATCACACACAAACCCTCTCTCTCTCCGCCTACGCTTTTAATTGCTGCCTGCCACGAAGCTGGCTCGATTAAAAGTTTCCGCGTCGCTTCAGACGAGCGTTGCGTGCGGCTGACTTCCGCGCCAATCGAAAAATCCACGGGGGACGGGTTAAACGCTCGAGGACCCTCCTGGATCCTCCACTTCGCGTGATTCGATCTCTCGATCTTTTCATTCCGCATTTTTCCTTCTTACTTCTGTTTCAGATCGAACGTGAAGACAATGTCTGAAAGGAAAGCTTGTAAATTACAGGAAACTGTGGTGTATGGAAGGTCATTCTCGAGGATTTATCTTTTAGAAGAACAGTTGATCGTTTTTTTATTTTCGAAAGATGTCGACGGTAATGAGAGGTATACTTTACGAATTGCAGAGAGTGTAACAGGGTGGTTCTTTCTTTCAGAATAACACCAAAGGTTTTGTGTCTCTTGTTTGTGAAGAACAATACCTTCGAGGATCTCTTTGGAGGATATTAGGTTATTTTGCTTGGTAGATTTCAATAAAAATGTATAGTACACTTTGCCAATTGCGTAGGAAGCACAGTGTTCTTTCATTTGAAATGTAGCTCAAGGTTCTTCTTTATTATACTACCGAAGAATAATAATTCAGAGCTCGCTGTTCAATAGGAAGAACGATACCTTTTTGTCTTATTAAAGCTACTGTTTCAATCAGAAAAAAGATTCCAACTTCGTCGAACTTCGAGGATAAAAGTTGACGCGCTTTTAAAACTCGCCTATCATTTTTATCTATTTATGCTAAATTTCGCGAAAATTCCTACGCGTCCCGATAAAAACGAAACAACAGGATCGTAATTCGGATTTCTTTCCAGAGGAGAACGGAGCCTTAAGTATCGCGATATTTCTCCGCGAAAAATTCCTCCGGTTCTGTTGAAAGTTACTCCCGCGGGAAACCGCGCAAAAGTTCCGGAAACACGGGTCGCCGTAAAAGAATCAGCGTTTTCGGATTTCTCCGAAGGACAAACCTGTTCCAACTGTGGCGCTGCCGTGGACAGTGTAGAAAAGGATACATTTCTTGGAAGAAGTCCAGGTGCGGTGGCTGAAGGATGTCCAGGGCTGAGAGGACCTGGAAGAAAACGAGAAAAAAAAACGGAGAAATTACGAGGAGTTCAGAGTGGGCAATTTCGAGCCTCGAGTATGTTACAAACAATTTCTTTCGCGAAGATTAACCGGGGTAAAATGATAAAATGTGAACTCCGACGAGTAGTAAAAAATTGTCTTCCTCGAAAAAAGATGAGAATTGAAATGGAAAGTCTAATTTTCATTTCTCTGCATTCTTTTATTTTTCGTTCGAGTAATGTTAATTGCTAATAAATATAAGATATATCAATAAATACGGAGAATAATAAAATATAATAAATATAAGAAGAAAGTCATAATTTAAGGCACGAGGAATTTCGTTTCCGGGTCCTTCTTCTCTGAATATTTTCCACAGTGAAATTTTCGTCGAAAACGAAATTCGTGGAAGTCGCAAACACGTCTGGGTTCGAGAGATCGACGCGTTTCTTCGGAAACCGTACGATAATGCGCTTATCTCCCTCGTAAAACAAAATGCCGGCTGTATTTTCCTTCGACCGCTGATAAGCGGGGAGCCGCGGTACAGATAAGCGAGTTATGGAAAATCGCCGACTCGGGGGGAAGGGAAAGACGACTGATTTTTGGTGGAGTGTATCGAAATAGAACGAAACCTCGACGATGCTGCGTGTTCTGCTTTGAAATTCCACGAGATTTCGTGAATTTTTGTAGGAACTTGTTATCTCTATCGCTGAGAGCGAAATAATACATTACTACAGTAAATAATAATAAATTCTGGGACGGTAGAATTCTTTGACCACTTATCAATTTACGAAACAGTTGCTCCAAATATTCCTTGATGTCTTTCATTTTTTTTTAAATCAAATTTATAGGAAATCTGGAGTTCCATAATTGCCACAGTATCTCTTTAACCCTTTCGCGACTAGCGCCGGTTATATCCGGCATCCGCTAAATGCTTCACACTGGCTAACGCCGGGTATATCCGGCATCCACTAAATGCTTCACACTGGCTAGCGCCGGTTATATCCGGCACCCACTAAATGCTTCACACTGGCTAGCGCCGGTTATATCCGGCACCCACTAAATGCTTCACACTGGCTAGCGCCGGTTATATCCGGCACCCACTAAATGCTTCACACTGGCTAGCGCCGGTTATATCCGGCACCCACTAAATGCTTCACACTGGCTAGCGCCGGTTATATCCGGCACCCACTAAATGCTTCACACTGGCTAGCGCCGGTTATATCCGGCACCCACTAAATGCTTCACACTGGCTAGCGCCGGGTATATCCGGCATCCACTACGCGCGTCGCATTGGCTCGCGCCTCGACAACTCAAAGTGAAGATTTATTTTAAAATACGGAACAAGGCCTCAACAACACTCCCTTTATCCGATACACCCTTAAGTCCTTTGCTGTTCCAACGAAATCCTCTAAGATTTGAAAACACGCGAGACACTCTTAATGTGCATAGTGTGCACTAATGGCACGACGACCCGTTCGTTAGTGGCATGCTGGTTCCGCCGTCGCGAAAGGGCTAATAATTTTATCTGATACATTTGGTAATTCTTTTAAGTTTTTAATCAAATGTGTAGAAAATCTGGAGTTCCACAATTTCTATTTCAATTACAATTCTTTTTATTTTCTAATAAAATGTACATATATAAAATCGGGAGTTTCATGTTTACCATAGATATCAAACAGAATCAGCAGATTAACGCTAAAACTATCTGTAGCGACAAAGTTACATCTACTTTGCTCCAATCTTACCATCCCACCCATGAAAATTAACCTTCGACACAGTTATCTTCAAATTAAACCCCCCAAAACAGCTCCACCAATGAAACATAAATACTCACGTTTCCGTGTTTGAAGAAGCAGAGCATCTTCAGCTCCCTGAAGACCCGTTTGCTGCTCACGAGGCTCTGAAAGACGTTCGGCAGTTTCTTCAAGGCCACTCTCCTACCGTCCCTCGGATCCGTCACCGCCCTAAAATCAAGAAAGCAGAAAAAATCGTGAAATTTCACAAGCAAATATATTCGACACAACTTTCCATACTGTTTAACCAACAGGGGTTTATGGCACGGATTCCAAGCGACGTTACTTTTGAGAAGTTTTTCTACAAGTTTTTTGATAACAACAGCCTATTCAAGCCAGAGGGCAAATCCGGCTTATTACCTGATGGCCGCGGAAATTCTCCACTTCTGCGGGCCACATGGTAAGCCGGTACTTGCCTCTGCGCGCTCAGTAACGGTAAACATGCCATAAACCCGTAAAGTCGACGTTTCGGCAAGATCGCCACGCGGGGCTGACACCCCCGTTTGGGACCGTCTCTCCCTCTCTGCCACCACCCTACTCTGCGGGCCACGGGAGAGTGCACGAGGGCCTAGGAGAGCGGCTCTAGGGGGTGAAAGGCCCATGATTTGCCAACTAGGTAAACTCCCCATTTTGGCGAATAGAGATATATACAGCCAGTTCACGACATTCGGGCAGATTCTAATATACTTAGAAACAATCGACACCACTTTGAGCGCTCTAACACGCGATACTCGACATCTTGGTACACCAGTGCGGTCCAGTCCGCAACAATCGACATCACAAATAAAGCGCGATCACCATCGCGACAGTAAGTAGTTGGCACATACAACGCCAACCCGACCTTCCAACCAACAAGAAGCGCGGGAAGCTGCGTTAACACATACAAAACTCTGTTTTCTCTTTTTCACCGAAGAGTACGTCGAAAGTTTCCACGCTTGTTCGATACAAGGGAGAATACAGCGATAAATTTGAACATCGTTCGTCGATCCGCGAACACACGAGAAACAGGGAAGGGGGGTGAAGCATGGAGAAGCGTGGAGAAGGGTTAATAACAGCGACCGCGATCGATTCGTAATCCGCGAGCAGACGACGGGCCCTGGTCCGCGGAATAATTATTGTGCCTGCAATTAGTTCGTTTACGGTGGCTCGATTTCATTGTCAGCCGGCCGGCACCGCAAAACCGACCATTCCAATCCCTCGTTTTCATTCGCTAGTCAATCTCGTCTGCTGCCCCGACACACAGCCCTCTCCTCCGCGTCGCGATAAAACGATTTTTCACTTTTCACAGATGTTCTTGTGTCCGGTGACTCGGTGGACACGGTTGCTTTGCTGCTTCAAGCGTGTGTTTTTGGTTGCTCGGGTGGCGAAAGGAGAGTGGAGGTGAGATTTTGGAGGGGAGAGTTAAAATTCGGAGCGGAAATGAGTTGAATGAGGGTGAGAAATATTTTTTTGAGAATTGTTTGGGAATTTTTGGAGGCTTTTTTGGGGGAATTTGAAATTTAACAATGAGAAATTTGGTAATTTTTTTAAATAGCGTAAAATAGATCTTTAATTTAATTTTTGAGGATTTTTAAAGAATTTTTTCGGACCTGAAAGTTTAACAATGGGAAATTTAAGATCCATAATGAAGAAATTTTATTGAATAGCACAGAACAGACTTTAATTTAATTTTTGAAGATTTTTAAAGAATTTTTTCGGACCTGAAAGTTTAACAATGGGAAATTTAAGATCCATAATGAAGAAATTTTATTGAATAGCACAGAACAGACTCTGTTTTAATTTTTTAAGGATTCTGTGCGACCTGAAAGTTTAACAATGAGAAATTTAAGATCCATACCAAAGAAATTTTATTAAATAGCACAGAATAGGCTTCGATTCAATTTTTCAAGGATTTCTGAAGAATTTTTTTCACCGTGATACTTCAACAATGAGAAATGTTTAATCCACAGTGAAGAATATTTGCTAAACAGCCAAGAATTCCTTTTAACTCACCGATGAAAAATGAACATCGACATAACGACGAACAAACTAAAGAATTTTAATGGACCAGCAAGGATTTCGTTTGGACTTTGAAATACTCCGTAAACGGGACAGTCAATTTCCCCCGAACATTAAGTATATACAATTTTTCGAGAATACACGTGTGGAAAAGATGCATCGAAAGGATGAAAAACGGTACTTGGCCAGAGTCCAAATTTGCTGTTTCAAGAAGACACGAAGATTCTCAGGAAGTGAATCAGCAACGCGATGCGATACGTAAATCTTCGTTCGACACGCGTTTTCCACGGTACGGTAAATCATGCTATGTTATTCTGTCATATCATGTAACAATCTAGCAAAGTAACTGAAACTGAGACAACCTGATACTTGGAAAACAAAATAATAATGCACAATCCTCGACTACAACCACAAACCGTACAGCATTTTAAACTTATTAAATCCTATTATTTCCCCATCCTTTCATCTTCTTATTCGAATAAAAAAAAGGAAAACAAGAAGAAAAATAGCAGAGAGGAAGCAAAGATGAATTCGTAAAAAATGAGAGGAAAGAGTTAAATTACGTTGAAAATGAGAAAAAATGGTGTTGCAAGGATGGAATGGTAGAAAGGAAGTAGAAATTGGTTTAAAAGTCGTAAGAGATCGTGTAACATGAGGATCGAAAAGGCAAATTAGTCGAGGCAAGTCCGCGATGCGCGTCGCACGCGCGCTTTCAGGGTCGTTCTACTCGAAATCCGTGGCCTCACTTCCGTTATGCTTGGCAGGCCGAGTGCGTTGACCCTTTTCGACGACGGTCGTCGTACCTTTCTTCGTTCGTGACTCGCTTCTGTGAATCGAGCTTTAATCTCTGGGCCACGACGATGGACCCTTCTGCGACCGGCCGCCTGACTGATAAGATAATTACCGCCTCCGAATTCGAGAGAGATAAACGGCGAAAAGTTCGCCACCCGGTTCGATTCTGGACTGGCCTTAGGACCCTACAACTTTTCACGGATATTTTCGTGGAGCTCTCCATGGAGTACTTGAAATTTAGAAATTTAGAAATTGAAAAATTTGAAATTGGAAACCTGAAGATTTGAAATATAAAACTCTGAAGTTTGGAACCGCTAGCAACACAAACCCGCAAAGATTTTAATTTCAGAACACACAACCCAAACTCCCTATTTGCAAGCAAATTTAAACAGAAACAAACGCTCGCGTCGATCATGTCCCAGCGAATTTTCAAACGCACAATCGCTAATTGCGTAATTCATAATTTATAATTAATAATTGCTAGCGTTCATTCATTACCGGCGATTTGTAATTGATGAATTCTTATTAAAAATACATATAATTAGCAATTTGAAATTCGACGTTTCACAGCCAGTTAAAAGCACAATGTTATTACATCGGGAAACAGAATACACAGCATTTAACATTCTCCGCATACGTTAATATACATCCCCTAGCCCACTTTCCATCTACTTCCATCCAATCACACCGACACATTTCATTCCCAAATTCAATTTTTCCCACACAAAACCACTCTTATTCCAAATCGTGCCACCCTATATACACACCAACTTCATCGCCCTAACCCTTTACAGACTCCTCGTCGAGTGTGACTCGACATCAGTTTTATTCACAGGTAGAATCAAGTCATTTTTAAATTGCCAATTTAAATATGTATTATTTTTTTTTTACCTAGATGATCAGTGGAGCACATATATATCACCCTTAATGCTATTTTCAATATAAAATTGTAGGAACCTAGGGAAAAATTTCGAAGGACCCAACCGGGAATCGAACCCGGGACCTTCGGCTTAGCAAGCCGAGGCTTTGCGCGCTACGCCAACCACTCCCTCTCTATTCTCCCTTCGAGATTTCCTATTTAACCACGAAGGCCCCGATACTGCATAATTAGTAAAAAAAAAAATTGTTCAAATTCCTTCCTATCAACCAAATGTCGTTTGGAGATTTCTCACATTTGTAAACGTATTCACTTTTGTTTCGTTTGGAATAACCTTTCCCGAGACACCTACGTACATATCATATAAATAAGAGGCGAGCAACAAAAGCGAGTCAGTCTGCCTTGCTGAGCAGGTTTTTCAAGGTGCTAACCTTACTTACTTAGCCATTAGCTATCGATAATAATTATGTACACTAATATTTTACTTTTCTTGTAGAGTGTAAGGAGCCGCTTTACTCCAGGGAACTCTTATCACCCCTTCTGCATCAACTCCCAGACGTACGTTTGATAAAAAAAAACAGAAGCGAGTCAGTCTGTCTGTGCAAACCGTGCAACAGTCTGTGTTTCTCGTTAGTGTAAATAATAAACTACGTCGTAGATTTTCTTTCTGAAAAATAGTTTTCCGTGTTTCTTACAATTCTGAAAATAACAGGGAGTTGCTGAAAAGCAAATTTAAAAACGAATTTGCAGTTGAAAGGATTAAAGCTGTCCTGGGTATCCTAATCGTTCTAATCGCGAGAGGAACACGTGAGAAAGGAAGAAGCGCAAGGGAAAGACGTTCCTGTTAAGAAAAAGCTAGCTCCTCGAAGCAACAAGTTAAGGACGCTTCCTTCTCCGCGGTCCCTTTCCTTCCAGCCGGTTAATTCGATCGGACGGTAATTAGCAGGCATGGGTGCAGGGTCGGGGGGCGGTAATTTAATCAAGGTGAATTCGCGTCGGATCGATGCCGTGTCGGGCCACATGCGTGCGATCCGCTCCAACTGGTTCCCAACTCTTTCTCCTTCTCTCTTTCTATTCACGTCCGGCCACGTGACACGTTTCCCTCCGCGTATTATACCGCAACATTGTTATCAACCGCGGTGGCTCGCATAAATTCCGACACGCGACGCGGAAAAAAAGAAACACGCGCACACGACGAAATATACGTGTGTAGGAGAGGAGAGGAAAAATAAAGGAAGGACAATTTAACCGGGCAGTCGCAATTTTCTGTAAAAATTACGACCTTTTCCAACAGTTTTTCCGCTCCCTTTTCCACGGCGTTTCGACTACGATAACGCTTCGGAGTCCTCCTCTCTCACTCTGGTGCCGCTGTGCTACGACTACTGTGCCGCGCAGCTGAGTTTCGAATGGAGATTGTAGTTTTAGTTGTAATTGCGGTGGATGTATGTGATGTCTGGAGAGAAAGTTGATTGTTCGATGGGATTGTCGGGAGAAAAGGTATGGTAAACTTGTTTTCCATTTCTTTTTTTTTTTTATAGGATACGCTAAATCGTTCGTAGCTTCTTCTGTAGATGTGTTGTATTTTGCGAGAGATTGGAACTGTGTTGTTTGATTTTGTTTAATAAACTTGCAAAGCGCACAGTGAAATGTATAGGTAGAAATCTCTGTCCTTTCAATTATTAGTACCAATCAGTGTCAATCTTGATGTTAATGGTTAATATTATCTTGAGACTGATGGTGCTGAAGTCTTAATACTTATAGTACCTTGACATCAGTGATCCTATAATCTTGATACTGATGACGCTAGGGTCTTGGTACCAACAGTATACCGATACTACTGCTGCTATAATCTTGACACTGCTATTATTTCGATACTGGTGATGCTGGAGTCTCGATACTAATAGGATCCTGGCACTAGTGATGCTATAATCTTGATACTGATATTTTGCCACTGATAACACTAAAATATTCACACTGCTGGTATATAATATAATAATATTATTTTGATTATTTTGACACTACCGGTTAGGTTAGGACCGATATCGTTCCAGTAATAAAACGAGCCTGGGCAAAGACAATCCTACCACAGTGATTATTCTTAAACCTGCCAAACTTGAGATACAAATATCCTACATTCGAAACAATCTCTCCTGGATCTATCGTTCATTATTGTCTCCAAAAACGAAGATCCACGAGATCCTCAATGCCAGCCTCCAAAATTCATCAACACCTCGTCAACAGAAAACAACAACTCTCTGCGAACGACAAACTCCACGCAGCAGATGAGAACGAACCCTACTATCCATGAAACACACACACACATGTACATACAATCGTTTCGTTATCCACTCACAAGAGCAACGTCATTCGTCTCCAAATAGAACAAAAAGTGTCTTTGAGGTCCCAATGGAGGTCTCCTACAACGTGCACTTCTATTTATTCCCAAGCATATCTCGTGTTCTCCGCAGAGTACGTGTACACAAGCTCGTTTTAAATTCACCAAACCGTAGACTGAACAACGCTCGAATGGGAACGAATAATTTCCTTTTTTGTCTTCTGTTTCTTTTCAAATACAAGCAACCGATCGTTCGCGGCAAACGCAGACGAGCTGATAAATACACACACGTACATATATAGAGCGGATTCCGGTTAATTGGGACAGATTGGGACCGGACTAATTTGTCCCAAAAAAGCGAATTTCAACAGGCAAAATCTGAACAACGTAAAAAACGAAGCCAAAAACGTATGTAATATTCGGTATTGAATACAAATGTGTGTTTAACACGTTGAGCGCCATGTCAGTCACCGGTGACTGACAGTATACTTTTCGTTCGGACCGCGTCAGTCACCGGCGACCGACGATATACAATTTAAAAAATTACACTCTTCTATTAATAAATTTCAAATAATTTGGAGATCATAAAAAAATGTACCTAAAAAAAAAATGTTAACGAGTATTATTAAAACACACGCAGTCTTATCGCAACCTTACACAGATCTCCGGCCGCCAGCATATCGGCGAAATCGGATATCGCGGGCTAAACGGAAAGGAAGGCAAAACAGGCTTGGCGCTTAACGTGTTAAGAATGCAAACAAAGCTAACAATAAGTAATGAAAAATAAGTAAATAAACGCGAATTCAGTATCTCTCCCAAATAAACGGCGGTCCCGCTTAGCCGGAATCCACTGTATGTATATCTAGCCGTGTAAGAGATATGTATTAATATCATATAAAGTTGAAAACCGAATCGCTGCTATTTACAGGGATCGTTTAGCTGGCCGTTTAACCACGAACAATGCCCATTACCGTTTCTGCGGCCGAACAATGCGCGCTTTTTGCGACGCTTGTTTACCGGCCCCAACCGTTCATTCAAAGTAGAATCCCATCAAATCCCGCGACGCGCTCCCGGCTTTAATTCCGGCCCACTCGGATGTAAAATTAAATCGAACCGGCCCGACAATGCCCGCGAAATAACGAGGTTTCGCGTATGCACACATCTCCCGCTACGTCAAGTTTCTTCGGGAATAATCGAACGTCCCTCCGAGTGATCGTCGATGGTTCTCGATTAATTGTGGGTTGTTTGTGATTTTTCGCGGATTTTTCCAGGGAATTATGGTTTTCCGATGTTTCGTACTGAGTGAGTTTTTTGGGGAGAAGCGTTTTGAAGAGAAGAGGTGGGATTTTTAAAAGAGAACATCGCTGTTTCTCGATAAATTGTGAGTTATTTGTGATTTTTAGAGGATTTTTGAAGGAGTTACGATTTCCGGATGTTTCATACTTTGCGAATTATCGAGGAAACGTATTTTCGAGAGAAGGGTTGGGATTTTTAAACGAGAGCGTCGCTATTTCTCGATAAATACTGAATCATTCGTGAATGTTGCAACGTTGACACAACAAGAACGTGGTTTTAAATAGATTTTTAAAGAAACTACGGATTTTGCAAGGTTTGTACTTTGCGAATTACCGAGAAAAGAATTTTCAAGAGAAGATTTACGATTTTTAAACGACAATTATGTTAGAAAATCGAAGAAAAAAAGACTCTCGTCGCATCGTAAACTTAATATCAACCGAGTTTTCTGAAATTCCAAAGAAATTTATTTTAACAGGCAAAATCTGAACAACGTAAAAAACGAAGCCAAAAACGTATGTAATATTCGGTATTGAATACAAATGTGTGTTTAACACGTTGAGCGCCATGTCAGTCACCGGTGACTGACAGTATACTTTTCGTTCGGACCGCGTCAGTCACCGGCGACCGACGATATACAATTTAAAAAATTACACTCTTCTATTAATAAATTTCAAATAATTTGGAGATCATAAAAAAATGTACCTAAAAAAAAAATGTTAACGAGTATTATTAAAACACACGCAGTCTTATCGCAACCTTACACAGATCTCCGGCCGCCAGCATATCGGCGAAATCGGATATCGCGGGCTAAACGGAAAGGAAGGCAAAACAGGCTTGGCGCTTAACGTGTTAAGAATGCAAACAAAGCTAACAATAAGTAATGAAAAATAAGTAAATAAACGCGAATTCAGTATCTCTCCCAAATAAACGGCGGTCCCGCTTAGCCGGAATCCACTGTATGTATATCTAGCCGTGTAAGAGATATGTATTAATATCATATAAAGTTGAAAACCGAATCGCTGCTATTTACAGGGATCGTTTAGCTGGCCGTTTAACCACGAACAATGCCCATTACCGTTTCTGCGGCCGAACAATGCGCGCTTTTTGCGACGCTTGTTTACCGGCCCCAACCGTTCATTCAAAGTAGAATCCCATCAAATCCCGCGACGCGCTCCCGGCTTTAATTCCGGCCCACTCGGATGTAAAATTAAATCGAACCGGCCCGACAATGCCCGCGAAATAACGAGGTTTCGCGTATGCACACATCTCCCGCTACGTCAAGTTTCTTCGGGAATAATCGAACGTCCTTCCGAGTGATCGTCGATGGTTCTCGATTAATTGTGGGTTGTTTGTGATTTTTCGCGGATTTTTCCAGGGAATTATGGTTTTCCGATGTTTCGTACTGAGTGAGTTTTTTGGGGAGAAGCGTTTTGAAGAGAAGAGGTGGGATTTTTAAAAGAGAACATCGCTGTTTCTCGATAAATTGTGAGTTATTTGTGATTTTTAGAGGATTTTTGAAGGAGTTACGATTTCCGGATGTTTCATACTTTGCGAATTATCGAGGAAACGTATTTTCGAGAGAAGAGTTGGGATTTTTAAACGAGAACGTCGCTATTTCTCGATAAATACTGAATCATTCGTGAATGTTGCAACGTTGACACAACAAGAACGTGGTTTTAAATAGATTTTTAGAGAAACTACGGATTTTGCAAGGTTTGTACTTTGCGAATTACCGAGAAAAGAATTTTCAAGAGAAGATTTACGATTTTTAAACGACAATTATGTTAGAAAATCGAAGAAAAAAAGACTCTCGTCGCATCGTAAACTTAATATCAACCGAGTTTTCTGAAATTCCAAAGAAATTTATTTTAGAATTTCGACAGAAAGGGGTTCGCAAACGAGAACAGAGATTTCTTGGGCGACACAATGGCCGCGAACTGTCGGTGAATGCTTAAAGGATTTCATACGAAATTTTTCAATAGATTTTTTCTTCGAACCTCGGTGAAAAGAGATTCAGAAATGAGGACGCTAAAAATAGTTACTTTAGAAGAAAAATAGTAGAAGAAAAAAATTGGGTCCTTGGGTTTGTGGGGCAACGGGGGTTGAATCCTAAGCGAACTTTTAAGGGAATTATGGCTGTGGAATATTCGATATTTGGCAAATGTCGAATTGCTTTTCCCTTTGAACTCGGACGAAAAGAGATTTGGAAATGAGGAAGACACCGGAGCTGTATAGCTTATCCTGCAAAAGGCTTGTATTTCTATTTCAACCACGGAAAGAATATCGATCAAAATTTGCGGGCGAAATCACGGCGTCCAAGAAAATGATCGGGTGGCGTTTCAGCCGGTCGCTCGACGAGCCTCTGTATAGTTCCTCGCTCAACTATTTAACGCTCGTCAGACTTTCCACGCGGCAAAATCTATCTCTCTCCTTCTCTTTGGCGTTCCTCTCACCGACACAACCCCCGAACGTGAACCAACGACGACGACGAATAAACGCGGAGAAGCTTGGCGAAACGAGTTTTCGCGAGGCGCGTTGAAATTACTATTATTTCGAAGAGAGACGAGACGAGAGAAGAGACGGCGTTATAATAAAATATACGAACGATGGAGGGGGGAGGGTAACAACAAAGTTTATTTCGAAATATTAAACGGAGTGACGTTCGAGAGTTTCTACTTTGCCGGCTTAATTAAACTTCCGGATAATTTCGATTAATGAATCGTGTGACTTATGAGAGACGAGGTGAATTCGGGTGGGGAACGGTTGATGAATGTTCGAGGAAAGGGTTAGGGATTAACTTTGGGTGAGATTCTTTTTTTTGGGGGGGGTTTGAGAAAAGGGTGAAATTTTTGGGTAAGTGTGTTTTGGTCTTTTGTGGGTAGCGATTGACGGGTTTTTATTTTGGGGGCATTTTGGGAGGAATGGCTGTTTAGTGGAGTATACCGATTTTCGTATTTTTTATTTCACAAATATTGGAATTTAAAAACAAAAAATTAAAAAAGTTATGTACTATAGTTATTACAATTCCACGTCCCCACATCGCACCCAAGAACACATACCATATTCTACACAAAGACTCACCGGACTCCTTATGGAGGTTTCCATTTGTTATCACTCCTGATTCAACTTTTCTTTTAGTGGACAATTTCGATATACTGCGCTTTTGTTCCATGGAAAAAGGCTATATTTTATTTTCGAATAAATAAGTATTATAGCTTACAATCCTATGTAAATGATAAATATCAATAACACGATTCTTTTTCTTAGCTTTCACATTGTTATTTTCAATTCTCGAATATATTCGAGTGTGAAAAATTATAGCAGCATCAAATACAACGCCGCTCGAATTATCTCGAGTGTGCACAGTTTGGCCTGTTTAGCGCGCTCGAATTAACTCGAGCGTGCAAGTTAAGGGGTTAACTCCTTAAATCGTTTATGCACCAACGCGAACAAATTTTGCAATAATCTGAAGTTCTTCGGAATTTCTCATCTATCGTTTAAGCACTCTGTTCTAACCGCTGTAAATAATCCTTAATTTATGTTATTTTTCTATTTTATTTTATTTCATTTATTTTTCTTTCTCTTTTTCTCTTCTTTGATTTTCTTCTCTATTTTCTACTGTACATTATGCTACTGCTCTGTGTGAATTTCTTAAACCCGTTGATTAACAATCAAATAAATAAATAAAATAATACAGATGTTCACTATAGTACACTGACGATATTCGTTATTGTGT